GTAGGGAAAAAGGGTAACACTGAAAACAAGTATATGTACACCTACAGTGCGTAAGGGTGTGCTGAAATTGGAACTGACTCTGAAACCACCGGTAAAGTGCAGAGTAGCCTACCAATAGAGTAATTAGAACAGGAGAGCAAATCAAACACATTTTGAAAGCTATTTTTTCTATCCATGTATTTATAGATTGGTATATTTTTTATCTACATAGGTATTATATATTTAGATAGTATCAGTTACAGCAGGTGATGAGGACCAGGAGGTCCCTTCCAGGCCTAAAGATTTTTAGTAAGTTCATTAGCGTAAGACAGATGCAAAGTGTAACGTGCTGACTTTGGCAATAACTGAAACCCTTTGGTTTTTGTAAATCATAAAAACCCAGTTTATCTGATCAGATGATAAACTGAGCAATACCTGTTTTCTGGCCCCTGTCCCTTTTTTTTTTTTCTTCTTCAAAAGTATGTATGCATGGTAATGAGAAATCTCCAACTGAAAAGAAAGCCATTTCTTTTTGGTGTCTCTCCCCACATATCTTACCTACTCGCAAAAAATATTTTTCCACTAGGAGCTTCAAAATACTTGCTTCAAGTCAGTTATGCTAGAAATTTTCCTTAGCCAGACTAAATTTATGGTAACTTTCTAGTTATTTTCTCTTGAACAGGTACAGCAGTAGCAACAGTGCAGGACAGAGCTGAGCATCCTTGTCCTGGGTCAGTCAGGTTTTCTGTGTGATTTTTTGGACCTGTCGCGCTCTGCTTTGGTCCTATACAAAGTACAGGAGAATGAGGTAACCTAACTATTGCTTTCTTTAAATAGCATTTCTCTTCAACAAACTAGATCTGTCAGATAAAGCATTAACTGAAACTTCTGAGAGAAGAGCTTACTTTGGTAGGTGAATTTGGTTCATAAATTCCTGTGGGCCGAGTCCACGTACAAAAGAGTTGTTCTTGCCTCTCTGTTGTCAGGTTTAGTGTGGTAAGTGTAGCTATCGTGTAAGGTGTTGGAGTTGTGAATGGTGTGTTTCAGCTGCTGGACTGGGAAGTGTTCCAGTTTTCAGCTGCACTTCTCTCTTTCACTTTTGCAGTCAACTCTTCCATAGCTATTGTTACCTGGATGAACTGAATTGTGTGATTGCTTTCATCCAGACACAGAGGCAAGTCAGCCCTCAGGACCAAGAGAGCTAGATGCAGGCCTTCCTCCCTGAAGTGGTGAGCCAGGGCAGATCTCACAGAGTCTCTCACCTGCTCTTTGCTCAGATCACTGTGAGGGTAGCTTGGAGTGTCAAGTACTCGAACACGGAGAGCTAGCTCACAGCCATTTCTTCGTATAATCCCTGAAATGAGACAGCTGCGTCCAAGGCTGCAGCATGTAGTCACAGAGCTTGGGGAGCGATGACTCTCAAAGTCTGAGCTGCCCAGCAGGCTGTTCCCAGCAGCGCTTTTGCCCATCTGACAATAAGGTTGATGGTCATCTCATTGGTGTCTACCATTGTCTGTGCTTTTATCCACAAACCTGTCACTAAGTGAAGAACAAATAACTCAAAAAAGAAAAAAAAATCCAGCAAAAATTGCAAAATTCAATGTCTTTTGAGTGGCCTTCCTTGAATGCAATGTTTTAAGGAGCGTGTGGTGTAGATAGACACTGAGTGCAGCACATATACCTCTGATCCAAGGATGGATCTTTGCTGTCTTTCCCAGTCTGCTGTTTGAAAATAACAAGACACCATGGAAGGTGTCACAGGTACACGAGCAACTTAACAGGCTCCACTCCTACACTGGCAGAAACTGAAGAACTGGTAAAGAATCGGATGTGAGAAGAGTTTTAGGAACAAGTAAAGCAGAAAAAGCTAAGGAGAGCCAACAGGCAACAGAGGAGTAGGGAAACAACCGTGGAAAACAGCATTGTCATGCAGGGAGAGTAGGTTATAAAAGGGAGGAAAACTAAGGGAAGAAGAGGAGAATGGTAACAAATACATGCTGCTGCTATTAAGTGACCATATTTCAGGAAGTAAATCTTTACTTGCTTTTAGGAAAAAAAAAAAAAAGGATAGGGAGAAGTAAAGGAGTGCTTTTTCACAGCAGAGAACAGCTTAGAATACATCTTTCAGCAGCTACCACTAAAGCTACCACTACCCCTTGAAATAGACAGTAATCCAAAAGGGCTTTCTGATACAGATAAATATAAGAAGTATGTCTTAATGAAAAAAGAAGAGCTGAAATAGCCAGTGCTGCAAGTTCTAACCCCGTATGAAATTGAGACTTCGGAAATGTATGCTGTACAAACTTTTAGACTTATGGCACAGTTAGTGGTAAAGAAAAGCATAGACTACTGGATGAAGAAGGGAGATGGGTAAGTATCATTTCCGGTTACTATAATTGTTCGTAAATAAGACCTCTCAGTCTTTGTACTCTTCTGTAATTCAGTCTTTGAAGGGTTTTTGGTGCACGTTAATAATCTAACAGGAATAATGGCTGATTAAATATATTCAGAGGTGTTTCAGGTGGAAAACCATATTGGCAAGTAGTTGATTTGAAGCTATTAGTGACACCCGAATTTCAGAAATTTTTTTTTTTTTTTTTAAGATACTGTGTTTAGGTACCCATGCAGAGATTGTGGATAGTTTTAGAATGGGATTTCCTGTGATTAATTTGTTTAGGTCCTTGCATGTGCAGTTCAAGTTTTCTCACTCGTTAAATCCATGCCCAAATCATTCTTTTGAAATAACTTCAGTACAAATCCAAACATGCAAGAGCTATTAACGTACTAATTTTATTACAGGCAACATTGAATACTATACATGAAGAACTTCTTTACTGAATTCACAGTGAGGTTTTTGTGGATTTTTCAATGATCAATTTCCTTTTTTTCTTTTAAGAATACCTTTTTGAAGAGACACCTGATGAAATGGTTGTCATCAGTTATTCATCAGTCTAGATGTGCATTGCATTCTTTTTCTGTAGCATAATAATATGACATGGTGGACATGAATTTGTGCATTCCTTTTTAAAATGATGATCAAAGATTTGTTAATTTTTTCTTATAAGCAGTCTATGCTTAAATACTTAAATTAATTTCCTATTATGCCACTTACTTATTTTCCCTTAAATTCCTCTTTCATTCAGACTTCATTTATGAACCATGTGTGCAGTTGTAAAAAGTTCATATGTGAACTTTGAAACTAAGAGCAGCAATGTACCACACTGAGACTGTTACGTACACATTAATCTGGTTAATCTGTTACTGGTAGATCCTCATTCAGTTGGGTATGTTTGGTCAGTAACTGACACTGTTGAATTTTTGCAACTTAGCTGCAGATACGATTTTTGCAATCACTTTAGTGATTTTCTGAACTTGATATTTTTGAAAGTTACTTGAGTTCTACCAGCAGTTAAATGTGGGAGTGATAATGGAGGTACTGGAATTACTTTGTGTTGTGTGTTCTTGAATGTGTGTTCGTATATGCATGCGAAGAGCATGTGCACTTTCTCTTATTATTGCAATGAATTAATAATTGCAATATTCTCAAAGCACAGTGTAAACCATATGCAGATGTGAAGCTGCTTGCCTAACAAAGATGGGTTAAAATAATCAAAAAATATGTTGAAATACAGAATCGGAAAGAAAACTGAAGGCTTGCACCACTGCCGGTCCTGTGCATTAGCTGTTGGCTTGGCAGCTTGATACTTCTCTCTTGCAAACATCATTCTTTGCAATGCTATAGTAGCATTAAAACCAGAGATAAAAAGATTGTCCAGATAGGACTTGCTTTTTAGACAATTTCCCACAAGTGGGAAAGTAACTGATTGGGACTCCTATGCCTTAGTGGAAAAGGAAAACAAATTTGTGCTTTAACGGCCAGGTTCTAATAATAGAATGAAAGAGTGAAGTGAGCCCTTCTTGTCAGTTCACAAGGAAAGGCTTAGATAAGCCACCTCTCTGACTGTAAATCCCAGGTGGGTGGAGGCACGTGTTTACTCCAAGGGTATTAAGCTAGTGTTGTCAGTACAGTGAGAACAAGAACCTGGTACGTAAGCTGCCTGTGGTGGGAGGAAAAGAGGAAGGTGCTTTTTGGAGCCCAGTCCTGCTGGGGACATCGTCATCCAAAATGTAGCTCTGTGTGGGAGCCTGTATTTGTTTACTGCAGTACCAGGGCTGTTCCTGCCTGCCACAGCAGTGAAGTGAGACTTCAGTTCCTCTAGAAGCCTGCTGTGGTGCCACAAGCACAGCCCGTGCTTTGGCAGAAGGTAGGAGCTAACGGTGCCTTCACAGCCTGCTTGTGCAAATTCACATCATTCATCATGAATGAGTTCATCATGTGTGTTACTTGGATGTAGATGACTGTAATAATTTCGTTGCTGTATGTTTTTAAGAGCACGTAGACAAGTTAGTTGCTTTCAGGCAGCTCCCTGCTCTTGAGCCTCTCTATTCTGATGAGAGGTGAGACATTAAATCTTTCCCTGTATTGTATGTGTAGCCAAGGCAACTACTGCTAGTTTCCTCTATGAAAAGCCTTGTGGCTCAATGCTGTGCACAGCCTTTGTATCTCAAGGCATATTTTTATATATATGTAGTGTATAGCGAGTTGCCTTCATTTGCTAGTGGATACAAACTCAAAGACAACTGGATGGGGGATGACTCGCTTGCAAAGCAAAAGGGTAGGTCAGTCTCATAAAACTATGGGTATTGTGAAGATAAAATCCAGATACTTCCTTTAATTTGCCTAGAAGTCTTGAATTTGGTTAAATTGTCACAGTCTAGCTCTGTACGTTTCATCAGACTGTTCCTATGCACAGTAATGCCTCTCATGACATCTGAGGCAGTGCATGTCCTAGCAGTTGCATCCAACTGAGCCAGTAGCCTGCCAAGGAGATAATTTAAGCTGTGCATGGACAAGGATTTAGACTACCAAAAATGCTAAAATCCCCAAAGCAGAGGAGTGTTGTATGCAAAATACAGCTTGCCCAGCTGAATGCAGAACAGGGCTTTTATACTGGCTGTAAAATTAAGAGTAGTGTAAATGAGGACTGCTCAAATGATAATCTAAAACTTGGCTAAGCAAACTTCCCCACAAAAAAAGGCATTTCTTTCCAGTATTATTATGAATGTAATACAGTCTGAGCTGGGACACATCTGGAAGGCCTTACAACAGAATGGGCAGAGGATTTTAAGAAGTTGTCTCGCTGGGAGGATATGACACGGGGAAAAAAATCAAACTGATTTATATGACACTTGCTTAAGCTCCTCGAAGTACGTGGAAAGAGTCCTCCCCAAGGTGGCAGTATCAGCCTGCTCCACAGGTACTGTAAAACTCAGCTGGGGTCCCCTTGCTCTGCAGTCCGATGCTGAAATAAAATACCAGGTCAAAAATGAGCTAAAGCATTAGAAAATATAGAAGAATTACAGGAGTCTTCAAGCATCTCCCAAAATAAGAAATGTAAAAAGCATTTGTCTCTCCTTTGTCACAAGAAACTTTTTTTACTTTATATATAAAATGCAGACACTGTAGCACCTTAAAGAATTTGAGCAGCAGTAATGAAAAGGTAGCTGTTAAGAAACTGGAGGTGTTTTTACTATCCCTTATGTGATTCTTTTTCTAATCAAGACCTGTGTTTTCAGTAGCTTTTAAGTTGAGTTGGTGACATTTATTATGGAGCTTTGGGTATCAGACCTTAAAATCTGCTGTCAGAGGATGGAATTGCAAACAAGTACAACAAAATTGCCTTAGGTGCTTTTTAGCACTGCTCACTGCCAGTGGGTAAGCTTTTTTTAGTGTTTTTGTTTGTTTGTTTTCTTTGTTTTTATATAACTTTATTTTTGAAATGGCAAAGAGAAAACCAAAACTGAGCCTGTTAGAGATCGGCAGGCAGGAAGGCTTCCTGTAACTGATAAAGGAAGCCGTGGACTGCTGCCATAGAAATACCAAATGAGTCTAGTGAGGAATTGTCAAGGAATCTAAGGAAGTAAGGCCACTAATCTAACTGAAAATAAGTGGCATTTGGGTTTCCAGCTTCTTTATCTGTCTCTGAAAAACCAAGGCTAAAATCATTTGCACATAACTGTTGGATTTCTATCCATCTACAGAGTTAACTAGAGTTGCAGTGCATCTTGGTCACATTACTGTGTCAGATGCTGTTTTATTGTAGTCCCTGTGATTACCCAGTTGGCTTGCACGCACCCTAAACAAGCTCTCCGTGATGCTTCTTAGGATAGACCAAGCAGGCTAGATCTTGTAAACTGAAATAGCATAGTTTCTCTTTAGGCACATGGCATCTCTTAGCATGTGTCATCTTTCAGTTCCCACGCCTTCTCATCCCTTACAGCTTCTTTCCTGATGTGGGCTCTCATTTTAGCCCAAGATGATGCCATAATAAGTAATTTAAGATGTGCTTTGATGAATTTCTCTTACTTGGAGAAAACCCAGTGAGGCCATTTTATGGATTACCACACACGGAGGCGGGCTCTTAGACTTCCCAAACAACATGAGAAATC